GAGAGAGAGAGAGAGAGAGAGAGAGAGAGAGAGAGAGAGAGAGAGTATTCTTATTACATCTAAAACTGACGTGTCACTGATTTTACAAAAAAAAAAAAAAATTCTATGAAAAAATCAAGGAATACCTGACATAATTATAAGGTTATAACTGACCATAATTTTTAAAGGGGCGGACAGGTAAGCCAGCAGAAGGCCTCAGTCAGATGACTAAAAACTTCAACGGCGGGTCATCGTTTGACTAAGACCCGCGTCAGGAAACACTTGTCCTGTTTCCTGACCTAAGCTAACCCCAAGACGAGGTCAGATTAGAACTGCTCAGAATGAAGTCAACACCTGATCACTTGTTTCGACACACAGTCAGACTTTTTCTGTGCCTGACTGGACGTCTGATAAGACTTCCTCATAACCATGTGACCATTATCACCCAGGAAAAAATACAAACTTTTAAAGTAGGTAACTCTTAATGAAATTCTTGGCAGACGACTCAATGACTGGGATGATGAGTTATTTTTGAAGTGAGGGTGAGTAACAGTAGTGTCTGTGTGGGTGGCACTAGTGTCTGTGTAGGTGACACTAGTGTCTGTGTAGGTGACACTAGTGTCTGTGTAGGTGACACTAGTGTCTGTGTAGGTGACACTAATATCTGTTTTGGGTGGCACTAGTGTCTGTGTAGGTGACACTAGTGTCTGTGTTGGTGACACTAGTGTCTGTGTGGGTGGCACTAGTGTCTGTGTAGGTGACACTAGTGTCTGTGTGGGTGGCACTAGTGTCTGTGTGGGTGACACTAGTGTCTGTATAGGTGACACTAATGTCTGTTTTGGGTGGCACTAGTGTCTGTGTAGGTGACACTAGTGTCTGTGTAGGTGACACTAGTGTCTGTATTGGTGACACTAGTGTCTGTGTGGGTGGCACTAGTGTCTGTGTAGGTGACACTAGTGTCTGTGTGGGTGGCACTAGTGTCTGTGTAGGTGACACTAGTGTCTGTGTAGGTGACACTAATGTCCGTTTTGGGTGGCACTAGTGTCTATGTAGGTGACACTAGTGTCTGCGTAGGTGACACTAGTGTCTGTGTAGGTGGCATTAGTGTCTGTGTGGGTGGCACTAGTATCTGTGTGGGTGGCACTAGTGTCTGTGTAGGTGACACTAGTGTCTGTGTAGGTGACACTAGTGTCTGTGTGGGTGGCAATAGTGCTTGTGTGGGTAACACTAGTGTCTCTGTATGTGACACTAGTGTCTGTGTGGGTGGCACTAATGCTTGTGTGGGTGGCACCAGTGCCAAGAGGTTAGTGTTGGAGAAAGGCGAACGTAGGAGAGAAGCGACAGAAAAATCAGAGACCGTGAGAAGGAATTTTGGTGCCCCATTCCTACCTTAATTAAGGTGCCATTATTCCTACCGCAATGAAGGTGGCACTATTCCTGCTTTAATGAGGGTATCACTATTCCTACTTTAATGAGGGTGTCACCATTCCTACTTTAATGAGGGTGGCACTATTGCTACTTCAATGAGTGTGGCACTATTGCTACTTCAGTGAAGGTGGCACGCTTCCTGCTTCAACGAAGGTGGCACTATTCAATTTTTTTATAAAGAAGATGATACCATTCCTTTCTTAATGAAGGAAGTGGCACCATTCCTCAGAAGGGGCAGTTGATAGCAAACGACACACTATCAGTCTAGAGAGCATCATTATGAAAATCTGAGAGAGAGAGAGAGAGAGAGAGAGAGAGAGAGGACAGCGTGAAGCAAGCTTTTATGCCACAAGCCGGGCAGAAAGCAGCAACTTCACTCTGGCTGTACCCTTCTCCAGAACATCACTCCATCTGAGATCATACATACCCAGGATGACTCGAGTATGGAACACATTCGTACAGCATAATGATGTCAACGAGATAAAGTCAGTTGATCAAATGAAAATGCTGGCCCACAGATGGCTCCAACTTCATCCTGTTCCCTTCTTGTATGTCTCATAACAATAAAAATGCTTTCAAATGAGCTGATGTAGGTAACAGCTCTTAGCTTGCCAATAAAGTTAGGAATCCTAAATCCTGTAAATAGCTTGTCAATAAAGCTTGGGATCCTTAACCTTGTCAAACCCTGTGTAAAATAAAAAAAAAAAAAAAAAAAGAAAGAGAGAGAGAGAGAGATGTAAGAGGAGATGACAGTAATGACACAGGGATGATAGATCCTGGCTCTGCCTCTCAACTTACCAGTCTTCAGATTCACTCCTTCTTAGCTTCGTGGGCCCTATCGTGCCTGCTCTTAAAACTGTGTATGGAGTCGGCCTCCACCACTCCTTCACCGAGATCGTCCCACTTTCCGACCACTCTGAGGCCGAAGACATGCTTCCTAACATCCCTGTGGCTCATCTGTCTTAACTTCCAGCGGTTTCACCGTTTCCCGTTTCTCGCCTTTAAAACAGCCTATTGACCCTATTCCTCTGTACCCTATCAATTCCCCTGAGTATTTTGTATGTTATCATGTTTCCTTCTATGTCGTTAGTTTCAATTCTATTAGCTTCTCCTCGTAGCTTTTGCTCCTCAGCTCAGGAACAAGAATTGTTGCATACTTCTGCAATTTCTCCAGATTCTTAGCATGCTTTCTCAGGTGCAACTTCCATATTGGTGCTCCGTTATGTAAGATGGGCCTAATGTGTGTTGCACAAAGAACCAATAATGTTGAGATCCCTGAAAGATATTCTTAAACTGCATTTGATAAGTCTTCCTACTTTTCCGCTATAATATGGCTGAGCATATCATGGGGTATTATTCAGATCAGTGAGGCACACTTAATACTACAAAATATAACCATGTCAAGAAAATTATCTTATACCAATTTAAAGAAGAGGATCTTAATTTTGATTCCCTACTGAAGACTCGTAGTCAACTAAATTAAAATAAAAATAAAATTATTATTGAGGAATAAAGTCTTTGGTGGCTGGACCAATTCACAGTTAATCCCAAATTCAAGGAGAAAGCTTTCCGTGTTTCATTGTCTCATTGCTTTTATTACTGAGGTCTTGACGTCAGTAGCAAGACGTTGATCTTGCCAGTATTGACACAAAAGAAGCTTACCTCTCCTTTGACGAGTGAGCAGAGATCTGTGAGATCTGAGATCTGTGCCGACATGGAGGAGGAGAGACTTGAGGAGACTGGGAGGATGAGAGACATTGAAAAGAGAAATGGAAGAGAAACTTGAAGGGATGGATAGAGAAAAGAAGGTTGACAGATGAGTGAGATTACGGCTCAGGTGTTGCAGGGATGTTGATTAATGAATGTGGAACATGAGCGTCGTTGAGAGCTTGGATGCCCTCGCTGGCAGGTTCGTAGTGAACATTGCATGACAGATAGTGCAGCAATGCGTGCAGATATTGCAAATTTCTCAGGCATGCATCAAAAATACCTTTATTTCCAAAATAGAAATTAAAACGACTTCTGGGTATATATACGGACAGAGATACGCATATATCAGCGTAAATACACTGACATACATCTATGAGTGTGTATACAAGTGTGGTGTCGGTGATGACACTGTCACCAGTATGGACAGTTCCTCGGAGTGGGAAAAGAAGTGAATTACAGTTCTCTAGATAATTAAATAATACAGAGTTCTCCATGACAGACGAACTTGGAAACTGCAAGACAGATAAATGCCATTTACTGGAAAATTTAAAGCAGATAAATGCCATTTAATGGAAATGAGAAAAAGTGAACTCAGGCCACATGTGTGATAAAATACTAAAAGTATCAGACAGAAGGATCCAAAACCAATACGTAAAAAAAAAAAAAAATCATCTGGAGACCATTTAAACGAAATTCAGGCTGACATAGGATGTTACACTGACAATCTTCAAAATAACTTTTTTAAATCCATAAGTTGATAAATGTATAAGAGAGAAGTCTGTTGTTAATAAACATTATCCAAAACTTTCAATACAAAGCAGAAAAACGTCTAAAATACTTCCCAGAGCAAAAATAAAATGATTTAAGGAAAGCCTGATGACATGAAAGCCTGTCAGTCCGGCTGATAACAGGAAAGACTGTCACGCCGGCTGATAAGAAGAAGAGAGGAGACACGATAACCACAAATGTCATAAAAAAAAATGCGAATGAATAGACAAAAAATAGATTTCATAGAATGGTCAACAGGAATAACATCAAACAACAGCTGGAAATAATTCTGGAAAAAAAACAAAAGTAGAGGGATACTAGAAAGCTTATCTTTGAAAAAAAAGATTATCTTTGCCAAAAAAAAAAAATGAAAACACACTAGAAAAAAAAAAAGCATACTAGTAATATTATCTTTGAGAGAGAAAAAAAAAAAAAGAAAAAAACAGAATCCGTTGTATATTTGGAATGTCGTAAGCGCTACAAGTATTGAAAATTTATGAAAAATATGAGGAAATAATTACTGAATGTGGGACACCATTGATCTCCTTCTATATTTACAGACAGATAATTTCCTTCAGATAATTACTGGGAGATACGTTCACCATTATGTTGGTGCTCATCTTGAGTCGTAAGTTCTAAACACCAGCTATAAACGAGGCTGTAGTAATTTAACAACAGCCTAAACTCTTAAGAGTTAAGTATAGACGACGTTTCGGTCCCTCCACTACCAATATCAAATCACAGCTGTAAAATGATAATGGGACCCGGACTGACCGAAACGTCGTCTAGCTGCTCTAGCGTTTCCTCTGGAAAGGGTAGGTTATTTAAGAATATTTAGCTCTAGTAGTATTCTTGAACGGCGCCGTAAACATCAGAACAGCAGTGACGTTTGATATTTTAGGTGAGCGGCGGGTAGGCCTGGTAGGCCTAGTCTTGGGCCAACATACATCACTTTCCGATCTATGTCATTCATATTAACAACAAAATATATCAACATTATCATTATTATCACCACAATAATTATTATCAGTGCTGTTGCTCTTATTATTATTTTTCTTGTTGTGTTTGCAATCATTACTGTCCTTGCTGCAGCTGTATCTTATCATCACGTACAGTGCAGAGTTCCACCAAGGCGAGTTTCAGAGGTAAGACAGCCAAGCACCGAGACGCTGACACATTAGAACTACGTCAGCTGCAAGACGCACAGGTGAGTGAACCAGCGTAGTGATGGTGTGTGTGGGGTGAGTGTGGGGTGTGTGTGTGGGGTGAGTGTGGGGGTGTATGTGTGGGGTGAGTGTGGGGGTGAGTGTGGGGGTGTATGTGTGGGGGTGAGTGTGGGGAGTGTATGTGTGGGGTGAGTGTGGGAGTGTATGTGTGGGATGAGGGGGGGGGGTGTATGTGTGGGGTGAGTGTGGGGGTGTATGTGTGGGGTGATTGTGGGGTATATGTGTCGGGTGAGTGTGGGGTATGTGTGGGGTAGAGTGTGGGGTGTGGGAGGTGTGGGATGAGTGGAGGGTGTATGGGGGGGGTGAGTGTGGGGTGTA